CCTTGCAAGCCTGAGGCCCTGCGTTCGATTCCTCAGCACCATATAAGCAAAAAGAAAAAAAGCCAGAAGTGGCGCTGTGGCTCAAGTGGTAGAGCGCTAGCCTTGAGCTGAAGAGTGGAGGGACAGCACCCAGGCCCAGAGTTCAGGCCCCACAACCGGAACCCCCCCAAAAAAAGAAAGACTAGCAACAAAGTATCACAGGCCTTTTCAGTACAAGGTGGTCCTTAGTGTACCAAAAGAGAAAATTTGTATTTACATTTACAGTATATCTTAATTTGATTAACCATATTTTGAGTATTGAATAGCTACAAATGACTGTGCATACCATATTGGACAGAATAAATATGAAGAATCTTGACCATCTGGATAGTCTGTAGAATTCCTCAGGGCACTAATGACATCATATTAATTGGAACCAGTGAGCAAGAAAATGATTAAGTATTCTAGACATGTTGGCAAGACATACATGCCAGAAGGTGGGACATGCCCTACAATGATTCAGGAGCCTGCTGCACTGACATTTCAAAACCTGTTAGATGTTTATATATAAAAGGATTTAACCTTGTTCAATGAGAGGTTTGTCTTAAGCTTTCAGCTAGTAGGCCGTTGAAATATCAGTTATAGTAGTAGTGATTTTTGTTTTGACTGGGCCTTGAGCAAGCTAACCATGTGTATTGAGTTGAGGGTTATAAGTCATATGGCACCATCATGACCTCCTAAAGTACTGGAGATTGGGATCAGCCGCTTGGACAGCCAACCATACTTACATGATGGAACTCCCAAAGGTTTTAGATAAGAAGGCTTGAGGGCTGGGAAGGTGGCTCAGTGGTAGAGCGCTTGCCTTGCATGCATGAGGCCCTGGGTTCAATTCCTCAGCACCACATAAGCAGGAAAAAAAAAAGCCGGAAGTGGCATTGTGGCTCAAGTGGTAGAGCACTAGCCTTGAGCTGAAGAGCTGAGGGACAGCACCCAGGCCCAGAGTTCAGGCCCCACGACCAGACAAAAAAAGAAAATAAAGAAAGAAAGCTTGAATAAGCCATTCCTGCTGGTAATATTTCAGGCTAGAAAACTAGCCCCAGGGAAAATAAAACTGGAAGTGTCCATTGAAGTTCTGTATTTATTACCTCATGTATTTCTTCCCTTGGCTGATTCCAACCTATGTCCTTTGGCTGTTACAACCTCATGTGAGTATAACTTTGAGTGAAATTTTGTAACAAATGATCAAATGTAAGGGTAATATGGGGGAATCCCTGAACATAGTAAATGTCAGAGATTTTTTTTTTTTGCATTGTTCTTTGTAGTTGATTAACTTGTAATTTTTGTTGTTGTTCATCATGGGACTTGCAGGGTCTGAGTGCAGTCCCTAAGGTTTGTTTTTGCTTATGGCTAGCATTCTACCACTTTGAGCCACAGCTCCACTTACAATTAATTAGAGAGATTTTCCTTCCCCAGGCTGACTTCAAACTGTGATCCTTCTGTAACTTTTGTAATTTTATCATTACCATTTATATTTAGTGTTCATTCACAAACCACTTCTTTGTTCTTTTTAGTGCCTTGTATCTCAGACATTCCACTTTAATTCTGCCTAAATAAACCCTCTAAAACATCCTTTACCTAAGTCTTGGTGGCTCGTGCCTGTAATCTTAGCTACTCAAGAAAGCTGAGATCTGAGGATTGTGGTTGGAAGCCTGCCTGGGCAGGAAAGTCTAAGTTTCTTATCTCCAATTAACTACCAAAATGCTGGAAGTGGAGGTGTGGCTCAGGTGGTAGCATGCTAGCCTTGAGCAAAAAGCTCAGGGACAGAATCCAGGCTGGGTTTAAGCTCTAAGACCAAAAAAAAAAAAAAATTAGTGATATTTTCTAGTGATTTTTTTGGGGTCTGTAAATGTTTTGTGTCATCTTTGAAATACATTCCTTATTTATATAGCACTTCAGGTTGTTAGTTACTTTTTTTTTTTTTGGTAGGTTGTGGGGCTTGAACTCTGGGATAGCCTGGGCGCTGTCCCTCAGCTCTTCAGCTCAAGGCTAGCACTCTACCACTTGAGCCACAGTGTTACTTCTGGTATTCTGGTGGTTTACTGGAGATAAGAGTTTCATGGACTTTTCCTGCCAGGTTGGCTTTGAACCACGATCCTCAGATCTCAGCCCCCTGAGTAGCTAGATTACAGGTGTGAGCCACTGGTGCCTGGCTGGTAATTACTTTTACAGAACATTGAAGATTTAATTTCAGCCTCTGAATCCTATTGCAACTGTTGAAAAAAATAGCTCTTTAAATTGTTATTCATTTGGCAGTAATCAGTTACCCTGATTACTAGCAATTGTGTGTGTATGTGCTGGTACTAGGGCCTAAACTCAGGGCCTTGTACTCTTGCTAGGCTCTTTTACTCAAGACTAGTGCTCTAGCACTTGAACCACACCTCCACTTTTGGCTTTTTGCTAGTTAAGAGGAGGTAAGAGTTTTTCAGGTTTATCTGTCCGGACTGGCTTCAAACCAAGATCTTCAGATCTCAACCTCCTGAGAAGCTAGGATTACAGGCATGAACCACCAGCACCCAGCTAAAGGATGTTTTAAAAGGTTTTCTTTAGAGGTAAAGTGGAATGTCTGGGGTGCAAGGCACTGAACAGAATGAAAGAAAACAGTATATTAAGTATAGTTAACATTAAGTGTAATTAACATTAAGTATAATTACAGTTGTGAGCCACCAGACCAGCTAGAATTTTCTTAATTTAAGATTGGGGAATTGATTTTTGTTGTTGTTAGTCATGGGGCTTGAACTCATGGCCTGGGTGCTGTCACTGAGCTTTTGTGCTCAAGGCTAGCACTCTACCATTTGGGAGCCACAGCACCACTTAAGACTTTTTGACTCAGCTAGAATATATATTTAATAGTAGTAGCAACTGAAGTAAGAAGACTAATTCTAAGTAATATGCCTTGAAGCAATATGCCTTGTTCCTACAGCCATCTTGGTGAGTTGCTGGGTGGAGGGGGCTTTCCACACAGCTGTGAAAAACTCTAGAGGTAATAAAGGACATTCTTTGGATTACAAATATGTCCTGAGTTGATAAGCTCTAAGAAAGTCTTATTGCCTTTAGACAGTTGGCCCTTGATTTCCTCTGATGGTATCATCTGATTTGCTTTGCTTATATTTAATATCTTTATTATGTTTAAGTGTCCTCATATGGGTTGCTGTGATCATGTATAACACTTTTGTTGGGTTTGATTCCATATGCCTTGTGTGGTTTTGGCCCATATTTGGGCTTCAGGTCTTTGAGACAAGAGTTCATGAGCAGGGCTGGGAAGATGGCTCAGTGGTAGAGTGCTTGCCTTGCATGCATGAAGCCCTGGATTCAATTCCTCAGCACCACATAAGCAAAAAGAAAAAAGCCGGAAGTGGTGCTGTGGCTCAAGTGGTAGAGCGCTAGCCTTGAGCTGAAGAGCTGAGG